TGCTAGTTATTCCTGCGTCTTTTGGGATCTTGCAAAGCTTCAAACGACGCGTCGACGATTTTAATCGACTAATCGTGGCAGCCTTATATCAGACCATATTGGCCTTTTTTAAATTTTTTTTTATTAATTCACCAACACTCTAAACTGCTTATTGCTAAATACATGCATGATGTTCTTCACTACGGCAACTCAAACGAACATCGACTTCTTCGCTGAATATGCACCAATTCAGCCGAGCGGAACCTTTGGCTACACTGGAGCAAGCCACTGTGCATCGAGCCTCAAAGGCTAAACCAAGATAAAAGGTCAGTTACTCTAACAAGGCCACAGAGAGCGACATGTGCTCACCTGTGGGCTTCATCTCCGGCAACAAAGGGAGTGAGGGGATGCGGAAGGGGGAGGAACGCTGCGGTGGCGAAACGGCTGCAGGATCATCAGGAGGTGGTCGGCTGAGGCTTTGGAGTTCAAAGACCTCATCCTATTAAGAGAGCACACATGAGAGCTTTCATTCTGTAGTTCAAGGACAAGGACAGAACACAGAGAACAGATATTTGCATTTTAGCCAAGACTAGCATAATTTTTTGTACATAAAATCCAGAAGGACACTGGAGCACAGAACAACCATAATCATTTCATCTAATCAGTTCACAGCAGGCATCCTTTAAATATCTTTTTTTGCAGACACTTCTGATGAGAGCAGGAATTGCTCAGTTATCATGAATAGCCCCAAAAATGACTTGGAAAAGATCAGAAGGCATAACCGAGAATGTTCTACCTTATATGAAAGCACAAACAAGAGGACACGAGTGTGAAAAGGACTCCGAACAACAGAATAGTAACATTTCTAAAAACTGGGCTTATTTTCTGTTTCCTAGTTTGACAACAACCATCAACACATCAGATCAAAATATTTAAGCTGAAATACTGACACATACTATATTGCCAAAAGCATTCACTAGTCTGCCTTGATATGCATATTAACTTCAGTAACATCCCATTCCTAATCCATACGACTTAATTTGATGTTGGTTAACCTTTTGCAGCTATAACAGCTTCGACTCTTCTGTGAAGGCGTTTCACAAGGTTTATGAGTGTGTTTATGGGAATTTTGACCATTCTTCCAGAAGCACGTCAAACACTGAAGGTCTGGCTCACAGTCTCGGCTCTAATTCACCCCAAGGTGTTCTGTCGGGTTAAGGTTGGGTTCTGTGCAGGCCAGCCAAGTTCTTCCACACCAAACTCACTTATCCATGTTGTGTCTTTGTGCTGGTGCACAGTCAAGTTGGAACAGGAACAGGACACGCCCAAACTGTTCACACAGCATGAAATCGTCCAAAATGTCTTGGACGATTAAGAGTTTAACTAGAAGTAAGCTGCCGAGCTCAGCTCCTGAAAAACAGCCCCACACGATAATCCCCCCCCCCGTCCAAACTTTACACTTGGGTCAATGCAGACATGGAAACTTATTCCATGAAGCTCTCTATGAACTGTTCTTGAGCCAATGTGAAGGCCTCCCACATGAAGTCTGGAGTTCTGTAGCGACTGACTCATAAAGCCTGAGGATTTAACTTTCATTCTAAACAGTTACAGACCATCACTGGCCCACTGCCAAACTGTACATGCTGGATGATGTTGTAGTCAGTGTAATGTTCACCACAGTACCTCCAGACTCTTTCATACCTTTTCAACTGACCTCATTAAGAACCTGCTTTCATCTGTTAATAGAACAAGCCACTGATAGCAGGCCTGCTAGTTGTGCAGTTCTCTTCAGAAAGCCAAATGAGCTGCACAGTGCTGGGCTGTTAGATGGACCAGTGTATACCGAATTCATCTGCCCAGTTATCACCAGAGGGGTGTGCTATAAAGCAACTTTGATATATTCAGACTTTCCTTGTTTTAGCTGGCTCTACAAAACCTGAAATCCAAGTGGGAACTCAAGGGTACCACAACAAAGTCTGTGTCTTGGTGAAACTGAAAACTAACTTTAAGCTTGACATATCTCGCTAACCCATTAATCTTGTTTTGTGGTACAGTCATCTGTGTGACTGCAGCTATGGCTGGGCCATATCATACCGTTCACGGTAATACTGGTATAATGTTGGGCAATGATAAGAAAATGAAATCTCGC